TCAATCATTCACAACACTGTAACGTAAAAATAACATCTTTAATAGAGCTCTGGAGTTGGCACAGATGGCATTCAAATTCACCACTTATTAATGTACTATGAAACACCATACTACGCAGCTCCGACTACAGCGGCTCAGATCACGCTTCATTTTAAAAACTAGGTAGCATGATAAGTTGGTTTAAAGAGCTTGCTTTTTTCAGTTACATTCAGAAGACAAAACCCATGGCTAGATTGAACCAGACATGCGCACGCAGACAGAAGCCTGGAGAGCAGAAGCATATTTATACTGGCGACTGGCGTCTCCTCATCCTAGCTGCAGACAAGGACCTGAAGTAGACTGTTGGACTGCGAGTTAAAAAACAGAACTGCTGTAAACTCTGTCAGTGCAAGTGTGCTGAACGAGGGACATCCATTTGTAGTCAAGCCTCAAGGAAACAGCTGCTTTGAAGGGAAAGCTGCCTCCTCCGCCATTTCAGAAGTAGCAGAGCCCAGGGCCAATTTAAAAACAATTAGGTGCTGGCATCAGTGAGAATAAAAAAAAAAAAAAAAGTTGCATGTAGTAGTGTCTGGATACAATGGGAAAAGACTGCAATCTCTGCACCCACTTTCTTCTGAGGGCTTCCAGGACTTCACAAGCAAGCCTCACAGTCCCCTCCATGTGAGGTAGGTCAGCAATACCCTCATTTTACAGATGGGACAACTGAGGCACCAGTGGTTAGAACATTTGCCCAGGGTCACAGGGCAAGTTGAAGGCAGGGTGGGGAGTCCAATTCTGGCCCCTGCTCTAACCAAGAATTACTGGGCAGCTTGCAAGTAACTCACAATAAACACTGCACTGGGGGAAAGAAGCAAAGGCTTGAAAGCATCCTGAAAGACAGAGATGTGTCGCCAAGGATCAAAATTAGCAAATGTCAGCCAAGGGAGGACAAACGTCATCTTCCCCACTAGACAAGAGGCTCATCCTTTCCATCTGCGTGTCAAAAACATCGTGCTATTAACATACACTAGCACCTGTGCTCCTTAACCATCCTCAGCCATTCATTACGCCCCCTCTAATCAGAGGGGATGTACTCTCCTCAGCCTCACTCACTATGGCTAGAGTCAGGGATGTCTCCACAAAGTAGGTTCAATCTACATATGTGGCAGCTACGGAGCTGCGTAACTTCTTATCCAAGGTGAAGACCTATTTAGAGAGGCCTCTGACAAAGTTAAATGCTTGCCGAAAGCAAACACAGTGGTCAGTGTGGTGAACCACTCCTGATATTAGAAACAGAAAAATCACAAATTCCGCAGGAGATGTGCCTTGCTGATTATACCTCACTGCTGTGAATCAGCAGCTTATCTGATATATTCAGAAGTCAGTGTTGTTAATGAGCCTGAAGTAGCTACGATACTAAAGTCACTTTGCAATCACAAATTTTCTGGTTACTTGCTGGTAAAAATCCAGTTTCTACTGAAGACACAATAAATTGTTACAATTAGGAGGCCTTTACAACCTCTGTTCTATTACCAGGGATCTCTCACCAGCATGACAAGCTGTCAACACAGAGGGAGGTCAAAGTGCATAGTTAAGTGTCCCAGGAACTGTCCACTGCTCAAGATCATTGTTTCTTTCCACTTAATGATCCTGCACAGCCAAGGTCTCCATTTTATTTTTAGCTTCAGCAAGGGCCGAGTCCTTGGCTGGTTTCTTGGAGTAGTCTCGCTCCCCAAAAATCGTGCTTCCAATCCGGACATTGGTAGATCCAACCTCAATCTGTATCGAGGAGAGAGAAGAACACAGTCCTCAGACACCATTCAGCGCAACACTGCCCCTCCCATGGGCTGTTAGCATAGTCAGTAACACAGCTCAGGTATGGGCTATGAAAAACGTCCTTCCCCATACACCTGCTCACCCCCGTTGGATTTTTTCAAGAACCCCTCTAATCATTTACTACAGCAATACTCAGCATGAAGGTGCCCACCACTGGGACAGGCGAGGTAGCTGCTTTTAGGTGTCTGATGTTCAGACTGCAATGCTAGTAGCTATAAACATACCCGAAACAGATAACAGCTGTGTCCTTTACAGATCCAGGACTCAGAAGCCCTAATGCAATCCTTGGTTTTGTACCAGCTGTGGCAAACAAGGTAGCAAGATGAGACATTAAAAGCAACCATAAGGTCAATTTAGGGCCAAATCTCAATACAGGACTATGGTACAGGTGTACAAAGCCTGGCTGCTTGATCGCCATCCCCCTCATAGACAGGTGAGGGCAGTGTGCCTGGGATGAATGCCATCGTAGATCTGATGAGGCCAGAAGACCCCAGACTTACCGCATGCTGGAAATCTGTGGACATTCCCATGCTCAACTCAACTTTTTCAATGGAGATATTTAGCTTCTCACACACTTCCTGTCGCAACGACAGCAGCACCTGGCAGAAGAAAGGCAAGAAGGGCAGATTGGAGGCTGCACGATAGCTATGCTGACCCGTTTTCACGGAGCCTTCTCTTTTTGCTTCTCTGAAGTTTCCTTCCGCAGTTTTCCTTCCTTTCTTGCATGGTCCTTGCTCAAGGGCTTTTGTTTGTTCTAAGTTACCTAATGGTTTTGGGGGGGTTACATCCGTCTTCTTCTACAAGACACACTACAGACAATGCACAGATCCACAAGGCTATATACCCTCTCAAATGAGGGTCACATCAGTATGACAGGCCAGCTGGGTCAAAGGAGGGGTTGGCAGCCTTATACTAACCAAGCCTCAGGCAGAGGAAACCCGTGGCTGAAAGGTCACCAGGAGGCAGAACCGCATCAGGCTTGGCAGGATGGCTTGCTGTGTATTTCTTAGCTACAAACTCCAGAAGACAGGAGGGAATCACACAGAAGCCCTGTGACAAGGTGCGACTTACAAGCCCTCTGTACTAGTGAATCAGGCACCTACAGTTGTCACTAAAAGCCTAAAACATTTGCACCTCTAGGATGGTGTACCAGCATTCCCAAAGACCGAGCCCAGGGCCGCGTACCTCGACTGCAAACATTTGCTGCAAACTGACATCACAAGGCCAGGCAACACCAGACTGGGAGAGAGAAATCTCTAAACTCTTATGCCAAACTCCGCAGATACCAGTGCCCTCAGAAGCAATAAGCACCTTTAGGTCCCTTGCTTTATAGAATGGGAAGAAGATCCTTTACCCATCACAGAGGCAACAGCAACCAATTCACCATGCACTCTGAAGACACAGTAATCCCAAGCAGTTTGATTCTTAATAGCTGAAGTTTCCCTTGGCTGCTTTAAAACAGATTGTACGTATTTACCTCTATTTCTTACAAGCAATCGTTTGGATCAGTGCATCAAGGGCCAAATCCCTGCCCCAGTCAGTGGTGCCTGCCAGACTTCCAGTGAATCTGAGAACTGGCCATAGGACTGCTCACAGTAAGCCATACCTGGAAGTCAGGATTGGGTCCCTTGTTGAGGTCATGCCCAATGCTGCCAATTGTCATCAGACCCACGAATTCCAGGCCTGGGCACTTCTTGATGACATGCTCCACAGTTGGCACAGTCTCTCCAGGTGGAAGGCCATGCTTACCTTAGAAAGAAGGCACACACCCAGGTGTGAGATGGCACACACACACAGCTGGCTTTGGCTATAGACACCGCCCTTATCCGGGCCACAGAGAAGGCTTCTCCTTTTGTTTCAGCTCAGCCCCTTCTCTGACCTCCCTAAGATTTCATAGGCCTGCAGCCATATGTCAGACTATACGACTCTATGGCTGTACAACTGCTGTGGAGCATGAGGTGGCTGGGTAGCTGCAAGCCAAGTGCTCTGGCATGTTCAGAGCACCAGGTCACTTGAGTCTCTCCCTTGGCACAAGGCACTTAGGCCAGACAATCCCCGCTGCTCCCCAGAGCTAATGAAGCAGTGCCTAGAAGGTCCACATCACAAGACCTGCTTACGTTTAAAGAAAAATGAGTTTGAAAATGGTAACATTTCTGCTTAACTTAGTTTTTCTGCTGGCTTCTGTAATTCCAGATAGACTAACAACTAGATAGATATCTATTCACACTGCAGTTTTGCCAGTGTTACTATAATTGCAAAGCCCCCAAGGGGCCAACTCAAACTTGTACCAAAATGGATAGGACAGGTTACACCAGTGAAAGCCAGGGCTTTTCTGCCCTGGGTGTTGGGCAAGGAGGCATCTACATCCCAAGTGCCACACTGGCACTGACAACACTTCTAAGTCAAGACATGACCCAACACGTGTTCCCGTCTCTCTAGACCAGGGGTGTGCAAAACGCGGCCCGGGGGCCGGATGCGGCCCGCCAGGCCATTCTATCCGGCCCACGGGGCCCCTAAAAAATTTAGAAAATTAATTAAATCTGCCCTGGGCTGCCTGTCACGCGGCCCTTGATGGCTTGCCGAAACTCAGTAAGCGGCCTTCTGCCCAACATAATTGCCCACCCCTGCTCTAGACAGTGGCTCTATTTTGACTGGGCCAACTCAGCTGCCCTCGTGGCTTCACGGGTTTTGATAGTGCTCGAAACAAAGTACCTTGTTTCTTGGATGGCTGGAGCCAGGACAACCCCAGGAACAGAATAAACTGTTATGAGGCCAGCACAGGAAGCCAAACCCCTGTTCCTCCTCAAGCATTTAACTCAACCCCTGAATTATCATTAACATAGCTGTAACTAGGCTATTCAGATTGGCAAGACACACTCCTCTGCCTTGCTTTCAAAACACCAAGACAAAGCTGAATTTCAGCTCTATATTAGAGGGTCTCCTTAACACACAAGCCAGTCTATCCCAGGCCAAGCATTCAGCCCCACATCACCCTAACCCCATGGCATCAGCCAGCCCCGGTGTCCAGGCACTTACTGTCTTCTCCACTGGTGTTAACTTGCACCATGACTTTTAGCCTGTGTGCAAACCCTTTCTTTTGCCACGAGTTGTTCACTCTGTCTGCTAGTTTCATCGAGTCAACTGTTTCCAGCATGAACAGATTGGGGACAGCTGAGGAGAGAAGGCAATAAGGACACTTCTTTTGGCACAAGCGCATAACAACTGTGCCTGGACGTGCCCTTCCCTTCTGGCACTAGCTGGTGAGCTCACAGGAGACCTCTTCCACGTCCCAACCCTGGTTCTGGTAGGCTACAGCCTCCTAACCTCAGTGTGCTCCCCATTAAATAGGGCTCTGAGGAGTGGCTGGCATTGTACAGTATGTTGAGAAAAAAGCCAAGTGGCTGCTGCTTCATTACAACGAACTGCCCCAGTGGAGCAGAAATGCAAGATGCCAAAGTGCAGGGAGAGGGGGGGAAAAAAAGCAAGATTTCAATGTCATGCACAGCCTTAAAGCTGCAGATGCCCCATACTGCCAGAAGCGTTTTGCTGAGTCCCCTTTCCCCAGGGCCGGCTGTATTCTCTTAACAGTACTAATGCGCTCATAGCATCCGCTGCACTTGTTTTAACACTGGAAAACCTTGTGCTCTGAAGGCCGTATGCACGAAGCTTACCAATCAATTTGTTGACGTTCTGTTTCTGCAGGTGCCCTATAAAATGCCATTTAATCTCTGGACACAAGGACAGAATCTGAGAACAGAGAGGAAGAGTTAGCCAGGAACGACGACAGTCTCCTCCCCGCCCAGGAAGCATTTGCTGCTTGGTTTGTCTAAGAAAAGAGCCAGTTCCCTCAAGCCACCATTTGAACCACAAAGGATGGCAGGAACGTATCTGCCGTGTAGCCAACTTAGTTCCCACTCGGCACTTCTTGGGGGTGGGATGGACAGAGCGAGGGGAACACTGCAACGGGGCCAAGGAGGGAAGGCGCGTTACAAACACGGGATTGTAAAGGCCCGGAGCAGACGCTCACCCTCCTCCCTCACACCCCGAGACTTGCGTCTCCTGTAGCAGGTACCATTTGCGCTCCCATTCCCCCACTGGCTTTGATGCCGAACTGCTAATAGGGCCTGCCAGAGGCAGAAGCAGCAGGGATAACCCAGGGGCGACCTCAGCGTCTGTCTGCAAGAAGAGGTTCGTTCCAGCACGAATCACTCCTCCGCTGAAGACCCGCGCTCAGCGAGCAGCCTGCTGACCGGCTGTCAGAGCAGGGCAAGGTACAGAAACAGGGAGGGAGAAGCCAGCACTTACCCTGGAGTCCGAGGCCTTCTCTAGCAGCTCCTGCACCTGAGGGAAGACAAACCAGCCTCTCGTGAGAGCAGCACCAGGGCCTGGCTCCCGCTCCCCCCTCCGCAACCAGCGTCCCTGGGGTGGCGCTCATGCACCGCCGCCTGCGCCCTGCGCCGGGGGGATGTGCTCAGCCCACGCAAGCAACCGGTGGACGGGGGGCTCTGGGGCCCTTGCTCCAAGGCCCATGGAGCTCCCGGTCCCCCCAGCTCCCGGCCAGCTCATCCACGAGCGAACTGCTCCCGGAGCTGGTGGCCCCAGCGCCGGCCCGGGGAGGGGCCCGCCGGGGCAGGGGGGCGCTCACGTAGTTCTCCCCGAAGCTGCGCTGGCCGTGGTTGTAGGCCTCGATCACCATCTCCGCCGGCTTGGTCTTGCTGACGGCCACGAGGCGCGGCTGCACGGCGGGGAGGCCCTGCGGGGGAGGTCGTGGTCGTGGTCATGGTCACGGGGCCCCCCACGGTCATGGCCAACCCACCCCCCATGGTCATGCCCCGACTCCCTGGTCCTGGCCATGGCCATGGCCATGGCTCCCGGCCCCGCGCGCACCTGCGGCCGCCTTGCCACGGCCTGCTGCAGGCGCTCTGTGACCGCCCGCAGCGCGGGACCCAGCCCGGCGCCGGCGGCCATGCCCGCTCCAGCCTCGCTCGCCCCGCCCAGCTTCCGCCACACTCCTCCCCCCGTCCAGCCAATCGCTGGGCGCCGCTGCGCCCCGGGAACCAATGAGTGCGCAGGGGCAGGGCCTAAGGGGGCGGGTGGACGCCCGCCATTGGGCGCCCGGCGGCGGCCATGCTGGGAAGGGCTGTGCGCGGGAGCTTCCGCCACTCGAGTCGGGCCTTTCTCGGGGAGCCAATGGCGTAGCCACCAGAGGCGGGACAGCACCCTGCCACGGGACTCCTAGCGGCGGCCATCTTGGGAAGGTCAATGGCTTGAGTCCCGGCTGCTTCAGCAGCTAATTGCAAGTTCAGCCACAGGGGGGCAGCACCGGGCACCGTGCCTCCGTTACCCTCCGGGCTGCAGTGCCCCAGTTCAGCCACAGGGGGGCAGCACTGAGCAGCGTTTTGGTCCTCTCTCCCTTGGGGCTTTTCTGGGCCCTGGGGTGCTGTCCAGGAGGCAGATGTGCAGAGCACAGCTGGGAGGGGCCGGGACTTGCACCCTGGTGCCAGGCCACATCAGGCCCCCAGGTCACCCCCCACATGCACCCCTGCCAGGCGTGTTCCCAACCAGGCCCCAGGGACAGCGACTGAAGCTGAGCGGGCCCGCCTGCGCCCCAGAAACTCCTACAGCCACCGACGGGTGCTTCCTGAAGCCGACACCCGCGCGTGGACCGGCAGCCACTGCTGTGGCAAGGTCCTGCCATTGCAAACCGGCAGGCCTGTCTGCTCTCAAGAGGATCGCCACGTCGGGAAGCAGAACAAAAGCTGCCCCCATGCCCAGGCTCATGCCCGGGAAGACGGCTGCAGGCCGGAGCTCCGGGTCGCCGAGCTCTGCCGGGCATTCGCTGCATCCTCCATCCTGCCCCCAGTCACGGTGACTCATAGGCCATCATTGAGCATGAGCATGTCTCCACACCTTGCTTTAAATACAGTCTTCCACGGACAGTGGAAGTGTCTGGGGTGGGGGAGCCAGAGAGTCCTTTGCTATCCCCTAGCAAACCCTGAGGGTGACCTGACAGACGTGTAGGCCTTGCCATGCCGGTGGGAAGCCAGGATTGCAAAGGAAGTCATTTGAGAAATTGCATTTCCCCGCGTGCTAAGCCCAAGGTTTTGTTCCCCGCCCTTGCACAGGGGAAACCACCGGTGTACCAAGACTAAAGAAGCCAAAACAAGGAAAATATCTGTGGACTGCCCCCGGTGTTTACACCATGCTGCTGTGGTCGCCTCCAGGAACCAACCCGAGTGATGACCCTGACCGAGGAGGGGGGAAGGCAGGCAACCGGTAGTGGTGCTCTTGCCTGCCCCGACCTGCCCTCGTGTTTGCTTCCTGGTGCCCTGGATGCCCCGTGCTGCCAGCCCCTGCATGTGACACTTCCCTGTGGGCCTTCATGGGTTCGTGGGGTTGCCTCCTCTGTTGGGTCCCGGGGCCCCTTTCACTGCTGGGCTGCCAGGCTGTGCCTGGCCACTTCATACTCTCGTGACAATCTTCAGCCAGGCTCCAGGGTGCCTTCCTGTAGGGCTGGGGGCTACTGCCCAGAGCCCAGCTCAGCCCCACTCAGCCCAGGGCCTGGCAGGAAAACAGCCGAGTACTTCCCAGCCCCTGCTCGCTGCTAGCGGGAGCCTCCCTGGAGCCAGCCCCCACCAGCCTGCTGTGAAGGGGGCTGCACTTGTGCCCCACACGGTTTTGCCATCTGCAGCTTCTTACCTGGGCCCTGCTCCATCGGAGCTGGAGGTGCGCTGCTCTGGGGCTGGACCCATCCCAACTCCCCCTCCTTCCCTGCCCGCCACCCCGTGCCCTGCTGGACCAGCTGCGGGAAAAACAGCAATGCAATGAAAAGAAATAAAAGCCAGCTGTCCTTAGGGACTCCTCCGCACATCCAAGCAAGGCACAGGGATCAGATGGGGCTGGTGCATTCAGGTTGGCAGCACCAGGGAGCTCCCTTGGGTGCTCTGCTCAGCTCAGCTCAGCTCAGCCCCTGGGCATGTGGGGGTCCATGAAGTGAGAAGGAAAGTGCAGACAGCCACAGCAGTGCAGGGATCACTCGGCCTCTCCTAAGCACTGGTGCTTCAGGCTGGGCCGGGCCCCTGACACTTTGACACCCAGTGACCGCAAAGGGCTGAATCAATAGCTCCCCCCAGACCGCACGTCGTCCTCCCCCAGCGATGAAAGACAGGGGACTCGGTGCCCACGCATGACTTAGAAGTGTTTCCCCCAGACCGACCCCGCATAGGCATGCAAGGGGAAGGGCCTGGTGCCTGTGCAGGACCTGGACATTTTGCTGCACAGACCCAGGGTGAACCTGCCGTAGGAAGGAACAGGGGCTCGCCTGGTGCCCGAGGGGCAAGGAGTGGGGAGCAGAGACAAAAGCTTGTGTCAAGGGCTGACTTTCAGTAGATCGCAGCAAGGGAGCTGCTCTGGTACGTATGAGTGTCCATGATGCTGTGATACCATTACATGTGGGAAGGAAGAGACTTAGAGGCATGCATTTGCAATCCAAGAGCTGGTAGCTTCGCCCCACAGGCCCCTCAGCCAAGCACATACACCAAGCGTCTGAACCAAGCTCATCCCCCTAGAGAGCAGGGAGGGACAGCGGGAATCTCCTTCTCCCATTCATGCGTGGCACTAATGGGGCAATTTAGGTTGACCTATGTGGATGTGGAGTCAGGACACGAAGGGCGGGCAGGCCAGGCAATTCCAGTACGGTCTCCGACTCGTGCGGGCCTGAAGAAGGGGGAAGCGCCTCTCAAGGGACTAGTGCTTGACCTCCCATACAGCTACCTTGTGTTGCTGCCTGGCTTCAGGTAGCAGCCTTCAACTCCCTGCTTGTTGAGGAAGGCAGAGCCGAGGAAGCGTGACCGGCACAGAAAAGCGTGGCTGAATCGGACACCTGGAGGCCATTAAATCCAGCTCCTTGCTTGAGGCAGGATCTAAGCCCTCCCACGCAGCTTCTTGGCCTGTTTCTAAAACTACGTTGCCAGGGCTTGCCATAACTCCCCACAGGTTGCCAGACCCTTTGCCTTGCAGACACCGGGTTACATATATGAAAGGGACAAAGTCCATTTCACTTGCCCTTCCCTCGGCTTGTAGTAGCCCCACAAGCTGGGTGCTCTCCCCCCTTCTCTGAGTAACGACCCCCATTCATTAGAGGAACACAAATACCATCAGAGCAGCTGGCAAGCAGGTACAGCCTCATCAGCCTCTCTCAAAGCCAAAGGGAAAAGCTAGTCCAACAGCCCCATGCTCCTGCCCCGGTCAACCAGGTATACGGTCCCATGATTGACAGGGTTGGGAAAAAGATATAAGAAAGTCGAAACCTCTTTAACACACCCTGCCCACCTTCTGCTTGAACCCAAAGGAGACATCCCAGACCCAGAGGCAGCCCCCAAGCCAGCAAAGGGCAACACAACGCATCCTTGCTCATGGGCTCCTTCTTCCCCAACCTCAAACACCAGCTTTGACAGCTGCCCGAGGCCCCATTCAGCCAGCAAGGAAGTAATGCTACACCAAGCTTATCCATCAACCTGAGAGCCCAATTGTTCCCCAGCCAGCCAGCTCGGGAAGCCCTGAACAGTGCGTGAGACCCCGGAGAGTTAGTCCAATGCAATTAGATGCCAGAAAACCTCTCAGATGCCACCCTGACCATAATTCTGCACCAAACCAGCCACCCAGGCAGCAACAAGACGGGACACGGGACGGGGTCAGTTTGCCCCCCAGGCCAGCCACCCAGCCAGGGGCCTCTTTAGCCAGCATGTAGGAGTAACCTCTAAAATTTTCCCAAGTGCTCCTTTTTATTCGCACGCTCTAGCCAAGACATGGATGCTTGGGGCAGCTCTTGAGACCCCAGAGCCAGCCTAGAGAAGCACGCGGTCCTCCAGCACGGTCCCGTCAGGTCCAGCCCCTCGGGGGTGGCACAGGCAGATGGCAGCCCCTGCTCCCTCTGCGCCACACACGAGAAGCACCCACTCCTCGTGGCACGGGGCAGGGAAGCTTTTGTGGGTGGTGACTGGCGAGGACGTGCCCCACGGGAAAGCCACGGGTCCTCCCTGCTGCGGTGGCCCAGACGTCTTTCTTTCCAGGTGAGCACTGCACGGTGCGGGCTCTGAGCTTCAGCCAAACCTGGGGGAGAAGGGCGAGGCAGCGTTCAAACACCGGCTCAGCCCCGCGGGGCAGGGTCAGCCCCCACCTCATGGATGGGGCCTTAGTCCAGGCTCTGCTGGGCTTTCTGCTGGCACCAGTCACCCTGGCCTCCCAATAGGCTTCACCCTCCCGCCTGGGCAGCGGGAGCCCCTGTGCTGTATCCCGGCTCTGCCCCCAAGTTGCTGCACAAGCCGGGATCCCCGGCTCCCCAGCAGCAACGATCTGAGGATCGGGCTCATGCTGGGAGGCTTTCCCAAGCACAGCTCACCCTTGCCATCAGCTGCAGAGAGCAACAACAGCCACAGAGCTGAGGCGCTGCAAAATCGTGCTCCTGAGAGGTCCCTCCGTCACCCGCCACCACTGGAAGCTCTCGTCACGCAGCTCCGGTGGGGTACCCTGGGCGCTCTGGTCGCCGTGCCCCACCATCAGCAGCACATTGAAGCAGACGCCGTCAGCCTTCCCTGCCTCCTTGCCCAGGTGCTGCAGGCCTAGGAGCCCCTGGGCTGCCACTGTCACCGGGCCCAGCAATATGCACTCGCGGAGCAGTCGGGCTGCTGACGCCCGCAGGCCCCGGCGCATTTCGGAGGGGGTCGTGCCGCAGGCCATCACCGGCAGGTGCAGGGCCCCGGCTGTGCTCATCAGCACCCACAAGTCCCCGGTGCTGTTGGTGAAGGCCGCCAGGAGCCGTTGGCAGATCCGGGTGCAGGGCATTTCCGCCGGCAAGGTGGGTGGATGAGACGGGCGGGTTCGGTACCGCGCAGCCAGGTCCAGAAGGGGCAGGATGTCGGGCGCACGCAAGGGCAGGGTGGGAGACTCGCGGTCCCACCACCGGGCTTGCAGAGACTCCGCGTCCGCTTCCTGCAGCGTCTTCAGGCTCCCGCCTGGATGAGGGGGTAGGAACAGGCTCTGACGGTGCTGCGCTCGGGGCCCTGTGCAGCTGGGCGGGGGGGCACTTTTAGCATAGCCCTATCCTCCCTGCCACATACGCCAGGGCCAAGGCCGCAGCCCAGACGGAGCCCTCCCCTGCTCAGAAGCCCTCGGCCCCTTTTTCCCTGCTTCCCCCGGCTCTTCCAGCCTTGCAGGCACTGCTATGCCAGCTCGCAGCTTCTTGACCACCTCCCGCTGGCGCAGTACTGTGACCCTCCCGTCCAGGGCAAGGGGACTCACCGGTCGGCTCAGCAAGGAAGACAAAGCGGATCCAGGCAGGGCCCCTCTCCTCCACTGCCAGCAGGGTGAGGGGGTCACACTCCAGCCCCGTCTCCTCTTTCACCTCCCTCCTCATGGCCTCCACAATGGTCTCGTTGGGCTCCATCCTCCCGGCGGGCAGGTACCACATCCCGTGGCACTCGGCCTTGGCTTCCTGCATCATCAGCACCTCGCCCTGGGAGGGAGGAAGAATCTCACGTCATGGGCAAGGCATATTGGGACCAGGGCGATTCGAGGGATCAGCGTCTCCCCGCCCTGAATGGGCGGCTTGAGTCAGCCGACCCCACCTGCCCGCCTGGAGGCACCTGCCCACGGCGCTCTCGGTGACGGCTGCTCCCCAGCCCCAGAGGTGCCAGCTGCCATGTCTCTCATCTCCAGTCTCGCTTCTTTTCAGACGCCAACAAGACGAGCGCATGGCAGGCCTGGGGCGTGGATTTGCAGCAGCCCCCGCTGGGAGGGGAGGTGGGAGCGCCGCACCGTCTGCTCCGCGCGGGCTCACCCCGCCGTGCGCCGGCAGCGCGCGCATCCTCTGCCCCTGCCCGCCTGCAGACGCCGCCTCACCTGGTCGTTGAAGAGGAGCGCCAGCACGACGTAGCAGGCGTTCCTCCGCAGCCGCACGGGCTGAGCCGACTCTGGCACGGCGTCGTACCTCTCCTGCACGTCCCATCCCCGCCCGGCCAGCACCGCGTCCAGCTCCTCCATGCCAGCCTCGGCCTGGGAGGGCAGCAGGGCTGGCGAAGGGGGCACGCTTGAAATGCCCGTGCACCCCCTGCCCCTGGTCTTGCCCCTGCCCTTGGTCCTGATCCTGCCCCTGCCCCTGCAGGCAGCAGCCCCCTCCCACCACACTCACCCCAGCTGGAGCAGACTCCTCCCCCCCGCACTGCGGAAGAGACCGCCGCGCCCTGCTCCCATTGGCTGGCTGCGATGCCTCGCTCGCCTCCCATTGGCCAGCCCCATTTTCATTCAGACCTCAGTGACTGCAGATGTTTCTTAAAGGGGCCGCCACCCCACACCCAAGAGTGGGGATCCTCAACTGGGGAGGGTGGTGCCAGTGGTCCTGTGGCATCTCAGGGGTTCATAGGGGCAGAACTGCTGCGGGGGGAGCAAATGTGGGACAGGGCCAGTGGTTAAGAGGCACTTAACCCCTGGGATGCCCCAGAGCCACTGGCACTGCATCTATTAACCCTTAAGATGCTGCAGGACCACTAGCACTGCCCCATGACCCCTTGAGATGTCCCCAGTGTCCTTGGCAGCACTCCGGGGGGGGACATAGGGGCAGTGACGGTAGCCCTGGGGCATCTCAGGGGTTAATAGGGGCAGTGCCAGGGGCCCCGGGGGCATCTCAAGAGGTCATAGGGGCAGTGCTAGTGGTCCTGCAGCATCTTAAGGGTTAATGGGGGCAGTGCCAGTGGCTCTGGGGCATCCCAGGGGTTAATAGGAGCAGTGCCAGGTGCCCAGGGGCATCTGAAGGGGTACAGGGGCAGTGCTAGGTGCAAGGCTTGAGGGCTCTTATCAGGACACTCCTCATAGCTCCTCCCTTTGGGGTCAGGAGCTGCAACCCCCAGCCACCACGACCTGTCTCCTTCTCTCCTGGGGGGCATCCGGTGACTGTCCTGGCATCGCTGCAGCCGGAGCATGGTGCGAGTGGGACCCACCACCCCTCTGCTCACAGCAGCCTGCAGAGAGGCTCCTGGTGCCAGCCTCTGCGGGGGCCCTCATCAGCCTGATTGCTTTTCCCCATGGGGAGCTGGCATCCACACAGCACCGGACAGCAGCTGGAGGGTGCCCACACTGGCCTGCCCGTCACATACCTCCTTGCCCTCCTGCCCTGCGGGGTCTGCTCTCTCCTGTAGCTTGATTGCACCAGTCCTGGCACTGACTGTAGAAAGCCTGAACGAAATGCACCCCTGACCCCTGCACCCACTCAGCCATGGTGCACACAAAGCCATGTGGCAGCTAAACAGAGCAGCACCGAGTGACCAGGGAGGTGGCAGGGCTGAAAGACAGCAGGAGCTGATGCGGCTTATGCACCTCACTGTGTCCATAACAAGGGAACCAACAGGCCACTGTCGGGTCTGGAGTTCGTTTTGCCCCATTATCTGCTGTGGGTGTAAGGGGAGCATGCTTGCCAATTAGTGTTAGACGCACCTCTGTCAATCCTTCAGTCCTGTCGACTTTATTTAAATGCCTAAACACAGATGTTTGAGCTGAACTTTAGGCTCCAGCGAGAGAAATACTGATCCAACACTAGGCCAGTGTTGTTCTGCTATCATGATGCTGCCTCCTGTCGCTAGTTAATGCTTAGTCCAGGGCTTCCTTACAAGGGTTTCCCTTATTGGGCTCCGCAGAGCACATCAAGCATTTTGGATGCTTTTTTAGAGCGTCCCTGGAGATGTGGTAGAGATGCCACCCCTGCGTCTTTCGGATGGCTTTACGTGTTTGTGTTTAAGGCTGAAGTGCACGCAGTGGTATTTTTGGGCAATGTAGATCTAGCATTCCCCTATAGTTAAGCCCAGGGTCTCAGCCTAGGGAGCACAAGCATTTTTTAAAACTTACCTGCTGCTCCAGTTTCACTCCTGCCCCACCAAACACATTATTGCCTGGGGGGGTGGTTTCAGCTACACAGCTGCCATTGCAGCCTTCCCCATGCTCAACAGTCGTGCTGCCCCAGGGAGAACACGGGGGCTCAGCCCACACTCCTATTCTTGGTGGCACCAGCACCACCCCATCCCAGGCACCCCCGCACGTGGCTTCCTGTACCCCTACCCAGGGGAGGCAGGAAGGAGACTTAGAAACCCCCCTCTTCCACATCACAAGATTGACAGGGTTAAAAAAAAAAAGCAAAAATATGTTTATTTGACAGCATAATTTGTAGAAATTGAAACACACACACACATAAACATGCCCCCATTGCCCCCCTGAATTGCTCTGGGTGACAAGTTACAGAAAGGACTGTCTTGGGGACACTGACACCTTTGTCTCCAGCTGCAACTGGGCAGAAGCAAGTTTTTTTACATTCATGGGAAAACACCTTTCTCCCATTCAAACACCAGCCCAGCAGGAGCAGTGCTTCTAAACAAGCACCCGTTCCCCGCACGGTGACCAAAGCGCGCTGCACAAGGAGCTGGTGCAATTGGTTTCGCTCCCAGAGAGCGCCAGGTGCTTACATCCTGCTCTTGCAACGACTGGCTTGACGCAGGCGGAGAGCACCGCTTTCACTCTGCACCCAGGTCTCCCTCCCTGCAGGCCTGTTACAACCCCAGCTATGGAGCCCGGCGCTCAGGGTGCAAAGGCTCAGGCTTTCAACCTTGAAGGATCCCAGGTTCAAATGCTGACACAGCCCTGCTAAGCTCAATAGTGCAAGGGAAGGCAAACCCTCATTCCCTGACTAGGAGCTAAGACCTGGCACTGAAACCCTTGGTGATTCACCCGGCACCTGAGCGCTCAAGCCTGGGAAAGCATTCAGTTCAAACCCGCCTCTCAAGCTTATTTTTGCAGGTCAATGCCCGGGGTGCAAGGGAAGAAGGGGGGTCACTCCCTTGAGGCGGCACAGGACAGCTCTCATGTCCCCATTTGCCTGCCCCATGCTCAAGCGGAGAAGCTGCGGCTGCTGTCATGTTAACTGGGTTAGATCACTGGATTCCCAGGGCTTGAGTCTGCAACTGGAGAAGGTGGAAAGTGAGTGTCACCGGGACGTGAGCTGGATTCCTGCAAAGAAATGAATGCATCTACTCCAAGCAGAGCCTCCGGTCACTTTTGAGCCCCAAGAGCGACTGAACACGGATCCTCCCCCATCCTTTAGACCTCTGGGGACGTAGCCAGCATCCCCACTTGGCCGCTCGCCTTGCCCAGCTGCACAGCGGGCAAGGTGCCAGCTGAGATCTGTATCATGCCACCTAGATACAGCTCTACTGGGCTCAAAGCTGGGCTGTCTGTTATCTTTGAGCACTAGGCCCCGTGAGATGAATGAGAAGCAGGGGCACCTTGTAAGAGACTTCAGAGGACTCAGAGCCAAACAGCTCAGAGCCTCTCCTAAGCAGCGCCATGTCCCTTAGGGTCTAACAGTGTCTCTGGACTCCAGTGCTGAAGCTTTCCCCCCATGTATAAGGAGGCATGAGAGAGGGCTGCCTCCTTGGGCTCCAGCTGGTGCCGTCTTAAGCCACAGTAGGTTCCCCTTAATGCAGGGAAAAGCCTGCGTCTCCAGCATCTCCAGCACATCTGGAGGCTCGGGGAAATGCAAGCTGGAGGAGAGCCGCCCACTGGGACATGATCCCAGATGGATCTGCTGCCATGAAAAGTCAAGGCCCAGGATGTTCAGAAGGGCCTACGTGTCTTCCCCAGCGCAGCCCTGGCCTGCCCAGTTTTAGGGCCACTGCAGACCAGAGATAAAAACCCACAGCCGGTTTCCAAACAGAAAGGCGTCGTCATTCACAGCGGTCACCACAGTGTGTAATGAAAACAGGTATAAAATCCATCCAGCGTGATCCACACGCAGCGGGAATGGCAGAGAGATGCCTGGACTGATATGTATGTACACAGCAAGGTGTCCTATGAGCAGGGGCACGCGTGCGGCCACAGGAGCCAGCTACATGGCAGACTTCATCTCCCATTCCTGAAAGAAGCAAACAGAGTGATTATTGCCCATGGGTGGGGTCAGGAAGGAGATCCCCAGCTCCATCCTGCACCATGGGGTATGTTTCTGGCAAGAGGAGCAGCTGTCCATGGCCCAAGAATGGAGAGCAGCTGGGCAATGAGCTCATCTGTTTTTCTAGTGCAACCTTTTCCATGCTTTATGGCATTTCCTGATAAAAACTAGGTTAGATTTCAGTTGCTGTGATGGGAGGGCAGGCAGCCCTACATGGCACTTGCAGTTCTCCCCAAAGCAAGCAACGAGAGCCCATAGAGTCCAAGTTCAAGTTACATTTCAAAGAAATGGGAAATGCGCAGTTAATGGGCTCAAACACACTTAACTCTGCCCACAGGTGCCTTTGCCCCCTTCCACTGGCCCATGACAGCATGGTTCCAGTTCAGGTGTTATCCTGCTTGTGTCACCCAGGGAAGACATTAGATGCTCAACCTTTTTGCCTTTGGCATGAGTCCAGAGCAAGGCCTGATTGAACAGATCTTGTTATCGCTCTCAGCGGGTGAACTCTTCTGCCACCGCACTCCAAAAGACTAGTAAAGTGCTTCCCAACCTTTCCACACTCAGAAAACACTAGCTCTTACTTTTCACTCACCTTCTCCCTGCAGAAAAATACTAGAGCAATTCTTCCATTGCAAGGAACTCAACAAAGATCACGGCAGGACAAAATGGTTTAACATTAAGGTTAAATCTCAGGGTTTAGCTTGTGAATCATATTTGCACGTCCAACGGTGCTAACACTGTATAGTGGCACCCTTGAAAGGACCTGAGGGTGTAACAGGGTGCTGCAACACCATGGCTGAGGATCACTGGACTAGGAAAAGAGAAGGCACACAAGTTCAAAGCCAGCCGGCCCCGGGCAGCAGAGGGAGGGCACTACTGGTCAGGTAAGTGGCTGGCTGTAGATGGATGCTCAGCTCCAGTTAGGGGTCTAGGACTTAGCCCAAGCAACCCCTGACAATGGCCAGCATCCATCAAGCCTCTCCCGCCTGGAGCACGACCCCCGGAGTGGGACGATACTGTACCTTTCTCTTTTGAAGCACCTTCCCCTTCTCAATGATGACGACGGACGGTGCCCGCTTCAGGGTGCCCTTGGCAGAGGACGTGCGCTTCAGGAGGGGCGTCAGGAAGGAGCCCTGTTTGTGAAAGGAGAATGGCAAGGCTGAGGGAGACGCTTCTCTCCCAATTCTCCCCAACCCGGCTGCAACGGGTGGGCCCCCTTCTCCTCCCAGGGTTGGGAGCACAGATGTCCTGCACCTTCCAACCCTGCCTGAGTGCAGACCTCTCCCCTAGACGGAGGCCTGCAGACAGGTGTGTGCTGAACCATGCAGCGCCCCTTCCGCGTGCCATTGCTCCCTTTCACAAACCTGCTCCTCCCACATTGTAGCTGTGCCACGCCACCACGGTCCCCCCCAGCCCTTACCTCCGAGCCTGCTGAGCAGGTGGCGGTGGCTATGTGGCCCTTCAGAGACTTGCCGATGGCCAACAGGTTCATCTCCGAGCCAGCTTTCAGCCTGGTTTTCATCCGACAGGCTCGCTCCAGCTGGCCCACCTTCTCCTCCAGCTTGGGGAAGGCTCTCTTGCCTGCAAGGAGACAAGCAGATGGGGCACTGCAAGATCCCTGGGCGGTGTGAGCCTGCACGGCTTCCTGGTCCCATCGAGTGGATGAGTGCCATGCCCTGTCCCACATCCCCCGAGTCACGGGGCCCAGGGAACGGCGTGGGTATCATACCGATTAGGAAATCCAACCCGTCCCGCGGGCCCTTCCTCTCTGACGGCACCAGCGTCTGCTGGGACTGGGGGAACTCCTGGCTCTTCATCCTGGGGGCCACCTCTGCCCGCTGCTCACTTGGAGAGTTGCTCAGGCCGGCGTGGGGAGTGGCTGCCAGGGCACAGCAAAGGAGAAAGGCTGTGATACCAAGCGACCCATGGGCAAGACTGCTCCCAGGGTGCTGGGCACAGAGATGGACGGCACAGCCCCTTAGTGCCAGGCAGAAAGAGGCACCCAGACAGGCTCGATGGTGAACTGTGCTGGGGCGAAGGGAGGGGCAACACTCACCTGCCATCTCCAGAGCCCTGCTCGCTGCGTTGCTGTAGGCGCTGTCGGGAACAGCAGACAGGGGCCTCTTTGGCTGTCCCTGGGCGGCTCTGTCCAGGCTCTGCTGCTGCAAAGAGACCCTGGTGAGAGGCCTGCAGGCACGATGGAGGGGCAGGAGAGCAGGGGTCGCCCCAAGCCCAGGTCCATGGCTGCCCCCAAAGCTGCAGTGAGTCCAGGAAAAATGCCCAGGAAGGCAAAGGTTACCAGCTGGTGCAGGATATCAGCATTGGAGTACAGTGGGTCTGGGGCTGGCGCTGGCAGGAGCTGCCCAAAGGGGTCGTCCATGTAGGCATTGGGTGTCGGGAACCTCCGCAGCAGCAGCCCCCTGTGCGCAGAGCGGAGAGGGAGCCCATGACTCTTCTGCTCTGCTCAGTGCCCTGGACGTGCAACCGAAAGGAGCAGGGCCTGGCAGGCACCGATCGCCGCCCCGCTGCAGGGCTGCGCAGTACCAGTAAGGGCGGCTTCCAGTACGGTGATCCCTGCCAGCGCTTTGAGCAGGCACTGGGGAGAGGAGCCTAGGGCAGGCATCGGTCCCCTGCCTCTGTCCCAGCAGAGGCATCTATGGGCAGCCCCGGACCCAAGCAGAAGGGAAGACCCCGTAGGTCCCAGAAGCACAGGGTCATGGTTCTCCTTACCCCACAGCCGGGGAGCTGGGGGCGTCTCCAAGGCTGGTAGTTTCTATGCTGCTCCTTTCATATGTAGAGGCAGGCTCTGCTCCCCCCGTGCCCTGCAGGATCTCTAGCCAGGCATCCCTGTCCTCCTCTGAGCAGGCCTGCAGCAGAGAAAGGGCAAGGCTCAGCTGTCTCACTCGGGCTGCAACCACCACACTTGGGCCCTGGATATGGCCCTGGCATCAGCTGGCACACCCCTGCCCCCTGCTCCTCTCTCGGGGCACGGGGCCACTCAGTCCAGAGCTATGCAGAAGAGGGCATCGCGCAGAGGGACAAGTAGATCTGTGTCCCCCCCTGACTCTGGGGTTCGATCTGCTGCTGAGGCCAACAAGGTTTCAGTGCAAACCCTGTCCCTTGACCCCTCTAGGACCTTGGGTCTTGGACGAAGGCACAGGGTGAGCCATAGGGGCAATGTCAGCTCCCCAACCTGCCCCATTTCCCCTGCCTTGCTGTGCCCAGGCATAGCAGGCCTTTGCGGTACAGCTGTGAGCTGGGCTGGGCGTCCCCAGCTCTCCCTGCAGCGGGGCAGGCTCCCAGGCTCCTGCTGCCTGGCCTGCACGCTGGGCCCAGGAGGCTCCTGGCACAGAGGGGCAGAGCCAGGCAGGGGCAGCCACCTCCCCAGCTCCCCACACCACAGCTCTGGGGACGCGGCCGCAGAGCGCACCTCCAGGACGGCGACCTCTCGGCCGTGTTGAGCCAGGTGGATGAGAAGGGGCTGTCCCACATCAGCCCCCGAGGTCACCACGCAGCCTGCCAGCAGCACGGTGCCCGCCAGGCTCTCGGGGCAGCTGGGGTCTTGGAGCATCTGCAGGGCGCCCTGCTCCACTGTGCACCACAGCTTCTGCCGCTGCCCATGCAGCAGCACCTCCAGGAAACCTGCAGGACAGGGCCAGGCCTTGTGTCAGCTGCTGAGCACGGCCCCGCCATGCAGGGGCAGGGGAAAGGGGCTCAGGGGAGCCCTGCCCTGCCTAGCTCTGCACCCGGCTACCACAGTCCCTGGCATCCCCCACTGGCTCTGCCAGTGGCCCCAGCACCCTTCCCAGCTCTGCCCAGTCTACCCCTGGGCTCTGCAGTGTCCCTCAATCCCACCTGCAGCTCCCCCACCATTCCCAGCCAGCCCTGCCCAGCCAGCTCCAGGTCCCACCACCGGGCTGGCTGAAGTGACCGCTGGGCCTTTCTGCACCTCCTTCCTTCTGCTCTCCGGCTGGGACGCTGCCAGCTGCCGTGGGGCTGGTCGCAGAGCCGTGCTGGTGGGAAGCAGAGGCTTGCGGGGGGCTGGGCGCCTAGGAGGCGAAGGCAGACAGGAGCCAGGCTCAGCAGTGCTGCGTAGCAAGGGGCTAAGGGGAGCAGCTGATGGGCAGGGGTGCGCACGGCTCCGTGCCGCAGGGTGGCAGGATGCCCCGGCACGGTCCAGGCTGTCTCGGTGGCAGTGCCCCCACCAGCAGCAAAGCAAGGGCTCCCCTGCTGAGCCCAGCTGCTGCCAGGCCGCTGGCTCCTGGGGCTAGAGGACAGCTGGCTCTGCAGCCTGCTGGGCAAGTGAGGAGCTAGCCAGTGGGCTCGGGAAGCGGGGCCAGGACCCGGGGGTTGTAGTCCCAGTACGACAGGGCAGGTCTACGGGTGACCTAGTCCATGTTGCTTCCTCATGTGCCTCAGTTTCCCTGTTGTGCCTTGGTGGGCAGGTTAGGCACCTATGTGCCCTACCGTCCGGGTCGCGCGGCCCCTACTCACCCTGCGCAAGCCCCTGCCCTGCTCGGTGCCAGGGGACACGGGGGAGCTGTGTGCAGACAGCCCGCTCAGGGGGTTGCTGCTCACCTCTTCGATCACCTGCCAAGGAAGGGGCAACATTACAGCCTCTGCCTGCCCTCCTGGGTCCCGGGATGAGTCCTATCCGAGGCAGAGAGGGTGCTTTGGGAGGGCGGGGGCCCCTGAGCTGCAGCAAATACATCAGGTGAGAGGGATGGGCAGCCACGCAGGTCCAGGGACAGCGGTCATCAGCACCTGCCTTGACCAGGACGGGGAGCCGTGAAGCCATGTAGCTGCCTGGCTCCAGCTGAGGAGACAGGGCTGGAGTGAGGGGCAAAGGGGTCCTTTTGGGACAGTGCCCAGCCTCACCCAGAGCCGGGAGCAGGCAGTGCCAGGGGCAGGACGGCAATGGGGGAGAGGATTAGAGGGGCCCATGCTAGCCCCTGCGTGGGCACCTAGCCCCACCTGATGTTTGCCCGCAAGCTGGCTCCATCCAGAAGCTGGTTCCCGTCCTCCCCACCCCTCGGCCCCTCCATGCAGAGCTCGGCCAGGCTGCGACACCTCCAAACCTTCCTCCAGTCCTCAGCCTGTTGGCGGCTCTGGAAGCCGATGACCACCGTCTCGGCAGATGCCCCTGTCACCTTCAGCTCGTGCTGCATCTTCTTGCTGCGCTTGGCCTTGTAGGTGACACGGCAGCCCCGCAGATCCAGCTCCAGCACCGGCTGCATGTCCTTGGCACACTTGTAGCACTGTGGGGCACGGGGAAAGGGTCACGTGGGGCCGGGAGAGCTTGGGGCCTGGCCTAGCAGACACAACCTTGCATGGGGGAGTCGGGGACTTAGGGACGCGGGCAGGGTCTGTGTGCAGGGCAGGATGGGTAGGTGGTGGGGAGCAGGGTCTGGCGGGATGCGGGGGCGAGCTGAACATTGGTGCTCCTTCCATTCATGCATCTACCTGCTCTTCCTGCGCCTCCTTCCCCCACTTTGATCCCTGCCTCTGTTCTCCCCGCACAGCCCGCGTCACTCCCCTGGCGCCGGCTGGTCCTGAGGGCACGGGCCTGTCCCCAGGGCAGCCCTGCCTCTGCCTGCCCCTGCCTGGTGCTCACCAGCAGCGCGTGCTCCCGGATGATGAAGAGCTGCTTGGCCCACTGCCCGAGCCACCGCTTCCTCCAGAGGAAGCCGCAGAGCTGGGCCTCGGGGCGGGTAGGGGCCTCCCCGAGGCTGGCAGTGGGCGGCCACTGGATGTAATGCGCCCGGTCTTTCATGCAGTCCTCATCCTCCCCGTACGACTCATAGTGGCTGCTGTCCGTGTCTGCGCCGCCCGCTGTGGAGAGCAAAGGGAGGAGGTTGGAGCCGGGGGGTGGTCAGTGCAGTGCGCTCGGTGCCAGGAAGGTGGGATTTGGGAGCCGTGCCCAGCTGAGGAGCCGGCTGAGTCCCGATGCACCAAGGGCCATGCCCGTGCAGCCCACGTGGGAGGCAGAGAGGTGCTGCAGCTGGCGTGCCTGCAGCGCGGCAGCGCCTGTGCTCCCCATGGCACCCCGAGAGAGCAGGTGGAAGGGAGCTGCTTACCTGAGCTGAGGTTTTCCCCAGGGCTGATGGGCTCTGCCTCCTCGTAGGAGTCATCCGTGGGCAGGCTCTGAAGATAGGGCAGGACGCCAGCTGTGTTCACCTAGGGGGAGAAGAGAGAATCAGTGCAGCGATGTCGGGCAGGTGCCCACTCTGCAGGCTTGCAGGGCAGACACCCTCTCCTTGCCCTGCACCAATCCAGGCCCATTGACAGTAGTCTGCAGTGGGCAGGGCAGGGCTCTCCCCAGCATGGAGCAGCCTGGTCCTGCCCCCAGCGTGTTGCCAATTCCCAGGCTGGCATCTGGAGGAGACCGAGACCAGAAAGGCTTTGATGCCCATGGTTTGGGTTCCCGCTCCCCTAGTGCCTGCAGTGCCCCTAAAATGGCCTCTAGTAAGCTCAACAACCTGCTCTGCTTCTGGCTACCAAATGAACCGCTCCTGAGCCTATCAGCAACCTGCCACCGGCAGCTGCCCTCTTTATGGCCAAACCCTGTCCCCAAGGGCTGTGTCCACCCACTGCAGCCCCCTCCCTGAGGGCCCACATCTGCATGGCTCTGTGCAGAGGCAACCCTTTGCCCCATCTCCTGGCAGGGGCTGCTGCTATAGTGGAGCTCAACAGCTCCTGCCAGCCCCTGTGCCCATGAGTCCACATGGCAGTGTCCTGCAGCTGGCACCACATGGCAGCCGTCACCCTGACACACCACAACTGGGGAGGCAGGGTGTCATGCTGAATGCAGCGCAACATGCCAGCCTCTCCATGCTGGGCTGCACAGGGCATGCAGCCCGCCGGGGCACTATTTGTGCTTTATGCAGCATGTGCCCCTTCCCTGCCGCCAGCGAGGCAGGTCACCCCCTGCGCTCTGTAACATTGCAGACCCCAGCTGCGGTCAATCTGATACCCCCTATCCAATGCAACAGGAGCCCCTGCCACCATGCCGTAGGGCTACTCCTCCTCTGTGCATACCAGACAAGTGCACAGTTCACTTCACTGCAAAACAAAATGCCAGGCCGAAGCTGTTGCCTATTGCTTCTGTAGTCACCAACGCCGGGCTGAACCCTATCAGCACCTGGCATTTCACCCTGCGTCCCCCGGGTCACTTGGCTGTACTCTGGTGAGCTCCGTGCCGATTGCAAGGGCAGCTGGCTACCGACGAACTCATTGCGCTTGTCTGATTGCTCCAGAAACAGGGCAGGGGCTACTAAAGCTTTGGAAATGAGAGGCACTGGTCACTCCGGGGGCTGGAAGCCAGGCTGGCTATGTGCCCAGCGCTGTCACTGCTGTGGTATGTGCAGCCCGGACACTGACATTAAGACAAGCCTGGAAAACAGGGCAGCTACTCAGCTTCAGGGCTGCTGCTAGCGGAGGCGGCCGAGCTGGGGGCAGGGAGCACCGTTTGCATGGCGTGGGGACAGAAGCACGTGCTGGGTAAGCACGGCCTTCCCCCGGCCTGGGACCGCGCTCTACCTGGCGAGCGTGCTCTCTGCTGCAGCAATGCACTGCCTGTGGCACGCAAGGAAATCTGCCTCCCTTCTCCCCAACTATAGCCCACCTGGCATAGGGTGCTCAAGGCCTCTCTGGGCAGCTCCCAGTCCATTCATCCCTCTGTGGGATGCTGGGAGGAGCAGCGCCCAGGAAGCCTGCCAAGGGGGCACAAGGTGGTGCTGCCCGAGGCCCTGGGGTGGATTCCAGTGTCTATCTGGAGTTGCACCACTGATGCCTGGGGAGGGGCTACAGATGCAGGGCAATGCACTGGCCTGCGGAGTCATGGGGGCAGCTGTGTCCTCCCTTTCGGTGATGCCGTTTCAGAGGCAAATGGTCTGCTCCACAGCCCCCTTCCCACCCCCCGGAGAACTAGGGTCAGGCTGGGGACCGCGCTCAGCCCTCAGGGCCGTGCCGAGGAATGACATGTGCACAGCAGGCCCTGGCAGGCGGCGTGGGAACATTCCCGGCCAGGCCTGGGGCTCCCCATGCTCCTGGCTCTGCTCTGCTCTGCCTGCCACCAGGGACCACCAGGGACAGGCCACAGCGCCCTCTCCCTCTCCCACGCCCCAGCTGGCTGGCTATGCCGCCGGGACCGGCATCCTGGAAGCAGAGGCACTGGGGAGCTTCAGGGGCAACGCGGTGCCTGCTGCTGAAGCTGGGTGGTGGGCAGGGCTGCATGTCCTGGGCAGGAGGAAAAAGCTGCGATCTCCACCCTGCTCCTGCTCTCGTGTGGCTGCTTACCCCGCCAGGCGCGTGCTGGGTGTCCGCAGGGGGCGGGTCTGGGGAGCTGGATCCTGCAGGGGAAAGCAGGGCGTGAGGAGGAGCGTTCACATCACTTCCACTGACCCTGGGCTCTAGCAGCAGCAGGAGGACCTAGGGGCACCCCAAGTGCTGGGTGCTGCTGAGCTCCCCTCTCCCAGGGCTGGGTCCAGTCTACCCAGTGC